TCCAGGTGATCAGGGACAGTTTAAAATCCTCTTCTTCTGAGGGTTTCTGTGTAGCAGCAGGACTGGCAGCAGGACTTCCATCTGGACTGTCTACAACCATAGCCATCCTGGAAGTTTTTCACAGTCAGTCAGCTAAAATACAAAGAGTCATAGGTAACCTTCACCATACATAGGAGAACAGACAGCAGACTTACCAGTCATCTGGAGTAGTATCATCATCACTGTGTGTTTCAGAGTCGCTCTCCATGTCTGCTTCAACAAGTTATCTCAAGGATCTCTGAAGGAAAAGTCCCAGGAAGGTTATGCTTTCTAATAATTTACTATAACTTTACAAACATGGCTTTGCTGGAAATGCACCCAGGCAGTTTCTCAGTATGTTTATTTGACTTTTTGTGTCCATGGTTGCAAACAATTAAGGTTCAAAGTATGTTGACATGTTTTAGCTCCTCCCATTGTATCTATCCCAACCCATTCTGCGTTGCATAATTCCTTCCCCAAACTTTAATAAACATACCTACAGAGAAAGGCCAGTGAACAGAGAAAAGCAAACAAAGCAACAACAGAGGTTCAGTAAGTACCACACTATATAAATGCAAGCAAGCAAAAAAGCAAAAACTAAGAAATAAAAGGTTTGATACAACACCACCACAGATTTCAAAAGTGTGTAATTAAATCAAAGTTATGAGAGCTGAATTTTTCCAAAAAGATTGGGCTTTAAAATAACTACATATATGCATTAAAACATATAATAAATATTAACCAAAGCTGGGACGAAAACCTGTCATGGCCAGACCCAGGGTTCATGTGTTTTTTGGGCTTGTCAGTATTTCTTGGGTTTATCTTGAGCTGGCTGCCCTCGCTGGTCGCCCCGCCCATGTGTCTGCTTATCAGCTGATTATCATCACGTGCAGTCTCCCTCTTAACTGTGGGGCTGAGCTTCAGGCAACCCTGGATCGTTGAGTTTACTCAGCAGTACATCCCCGGCCTCATAGTGAAGACTTTGTGTGTGTCTTGTCTTGCCAGGATTTGTTAATGGAGTGTTTCACAGGAGCTGTACAGTTTGGGATTTGGAGTTTCACGATTCACGCCAAGGACACGCACCAATGTGGGATTTTAGAGAAATCGCCATGGGAGCCACGGTGTGGGGATTGTCACGTTGTTGTTTACCTTTCTTCACTGTAAATAAATTCACTGTCACTTTTTGGAAAAGTCCTGCGTTGGGTCCTGTTCTTACTACAAAAGTGACAAAACCCTTCTGTCCTTAATAAAAATGGTCAAATATTATTTCCTCTAATGTCAGTAAGAGCAGGTTGATTTTCCTGGCCTGCAGGCCGTTCACCATGTCACGAGTGGACTGACTCTCAACCAAAAAGTAAATAATCCACATCCTATTTTGCAATCATCTGTTCTATTTAAAGTCAAAGAATGATATTCCTTTTTATCCTGACTTAGAAAATATTCTTTTAATAACATATTTTAAATTGAAAACGTTTATTACAGAAATCAGCGTCTTCAATGATGACATATAACCCATATAATATTTGATTAAATGGTAAGTGGCATGTATTTGTATAGCGCTTTACTCAGTCCCTAAGGACCCCAAAGCGCTTTACACTACATTCAGTCATTCACCCATTCACACACACATTCACACACTGGTGATGGCGAGTCTCGGCCAGACTCTTTTGGTAGAGATCAGCTTCTGACATAAATCTGGCTGGATATTTGACCACACTTCTTGGAAACAAAGTTAATTTAAATTGGTTGGTTTTGTGGCTCAGATTCAGCTTTTAAGTATAGACCAAAAGTTTTTAATAGGTTTAAGGTCGGGGCTTTGGGGAGGCCAGTCCAGATGCTCCATGTTAGACTGCTTTATGAATTCAAAACCAGTTTTGATGCGTTTGGGGTCATTGTCCTGTTGGAACACCCAGCTGTGTCAAAGTTTCAAGCCTCTAGCTGTTGATTTGAGGTGAAGTTGAAGTATTTGGAGGTAGTCCTCCTTTATTATGCCATCCACTTTATGCACTGGCAACAAAACACAGCAGAGCATGGTGCTACGACCATTATGCTTGACAGCAGATGAAAGCCTCACCTGTACTCCTCCAAATACGCCTCTTGTCATTGTGTCCAACAAGCTCAGTCTTTGACTCATTTGACTATAAAACCTTCCTCCAGATTGCTAAAGCACATAGTTAGGGTTGGATCAGGTGACTATTAATCATCCCTTAGTTATGCTGCAACATTCCCATGATGCAACGAGTATTTCTTCTTTAGTCACCTTTCTCACTCGCTATATGTTAATAGACCTCCCTGCTTTGAATCGTACTTGTTATTAATCTCCGTCTCTCTTCCACAGCATGTCTTTTGTCCTGTCTTCCTCCCCTCACCCCAACCGGCCACGGCAAATGGCTGCCCCTCCCTGAGCCTGCTTCTGCTGGATGTTTCTTCCTGTTAAAAGGGAGTTGCCAAAGTGCTTGCTCATAGGTGGTCATATGATTGTTAGGTTTTTGTCTGAATGTATTATAGTAAGGTCTACCTTACAATATAAAGCGCCTTAAGGTGATTGTTGTTGTGATTTTCTACTGCATAAATAAAACAGAATTTAACTGAAATTATAAAGATTTGGCTTGTCTATGTGAGCAGCTACAAACTTCAGCCGAGCTTGAAGACGTTGATTTTGGAGCAGTGAGACGGTGACGCTGGTGTTCCCACAGGTTGTAGTTGATGGCAGCTTGAGCTTTGGTGGTTCCTGGGTGTGAGCTTGGTGGATGGGCCCAGGTAAGAGGCATTTTGAAAGTGAAAGACATTTATTTTTCCACCAGACAACAAGACAAACACTTCTGGCCATCACCCTCCACAGACAGATTCCAACACAACTCAGCCCCAACAACACCAGCACCACACTAAGACCACATGTGCTTAGATACTATTAGGAATACACCGTAAGACAATTCAAAGTGTGTTCGCACAAAAATAAATACATAAATAATTGTATACATGTGTAAAACACTTTACTAAACTATTTTCAATCTCCATCTATATTTACAAACCCCTTAATGCCTAATCCCCATTATTTAAATAACAATAATAATTTTAAAAAAAAACGAAAGTATTCAGGGTGGTATCGTACCTCTGTGTTTCTGTAAAATAAACCACTGTCTCCAGTACGCCACAGACCAGCTCGGCAGATTCTCAAATTTACCTTCACACAACCTGTTCACCCGTCAGCTGATTAACGACTACTGCTGATTTAGGAAACACGCCCACTTAAACTCGTGATAATCAAATTAGGGTCGAAGTTCTGGCTCCACCCATTCTATAAAGGTTGTACAATGTTTTTACCCAAACTTTAATCAGTGTACATACAGATAAAGAATAATTAACAGAGAAAAGCAAACAAAGCTGACTTTTTCCAAACGGATTTTGGTTTGAAATGACTACATTTATTAATTACAAACTTTATTACAACAAATAGAAATATTAACCCGGGGTGGGGGCTTTCGGTCCTTAAAATATGCCAAATTTTATTTCTTTTAATGTCACATAAAACAAAAACACATGTGGCAAAATCACTTTTTACCACGTCTAAGGTGTACCCTGCCTCTTGCCCTATAACAGCCGGGACAGGCTCCAGTCCCTGAAGTAGATAAACAGAAGAGAGTGGATGGATGCTACTGCATGTAGCTGTTAAAACCGTGGATCAACAGCTTCAGGCATACGTGTGCTGCTGTTACAAGTTGGACTCACCATTAAGACTTCCCATAACACTACTTTCAGTCCTGTAAGTCAGTGTTTTGAACAGTTGCTATTCAACTGTGTACTGCTCTCTAGTGGCCTGATGTGTGTATTACATACAGAGTGACTTCACAGTAGGGTTTCTCATGCTGTGTGTGGTGTTTTTCAGTCCCAACTCCATCCACTGAGGAAGATCATGTAACAAGGTTAAAAGCTGAAGAGCTGTCAGACTTCTGTTATGGACTTTTCATCCATCAATGTAAGTGTATCAATAACAAAGACATTATAATTCATTAGTACTTTTCATATTTTAATTTGTCATTTTAACCACATAAAACACTTAAGCAGACACACATTAGAGTATAAAACCGATTAAAATAAGGTGAGGAACATCTTCCTGCATAGTGTTACTGTCATTTAAAGAGAGGCTGATCTAAAATAAAATGCTTAACTGTCATGTTTTTGGTTGTTTTGTGTAGTTCTATTCAGCTGTGAAGGTGCAGTAGATTCCCCAGTGATCACTAGTGTAGCGTCCACAGTCCAGCTTCTCCAGCCCCACCAAGGCCATGTGATCAGGGGCCAGACGTGGGATTCCACCTCTGATGGCCGGGCGGAGGTAGATTCTGTCAAAGCGGCAGCGAGCGACAAAGGGAAACGTTTTGTTGTTGTTGGCAGAGGTGTCCCACGTGTAGCGGCAGTGCTCCTGCTTGCCCAGTTGCTCCCACACATCACAGACAGTTGCAGGCAGGCCCACCTTGGTCACCTGAGACGGGTCCAGAGAAAAGAGTTACTGTGATTACTTGTTACAAGTTTACTGGCTGTATGTGAGTGGAAGGAGCAGCGTCTGACCTCCCCATCCCTCAGGTTTGTGTCTCCCCCAAACACAACGGTGACATCATCAGGTGCATGTTTAAACCTCCACTTCACCACATGCAGCTGATTCATACGCTCTTTAGCATTGGCCTTACAGCTCTCAAAGTGGGATGTCATCAGGCACAGCTTCTGGCCATCGACGATCACCTGATTTTTGCAAAAAAAACCATTTCTGGGCGTCACGTTCAGCAGAACTTATGTACACAAAGAAAATATCAGAGATGATTTTGCACACACCTGAGCAACAAGCAGGTTCCTCCTCATCTTAGTGGTGCGATAAGGTACTATCTCACTCTCCACAAATGTGACTCGTGACTTTTTCAGCAACATCCCTGTAAAGTAACCTTCCTCAGCACCTGGTCAACACAAGAGGAAGACAAAACAAAATCTATTTTAATACAAGTCCACTGACAGGTAGGTTCTCATTTATACCAGTGATCATGGGCTGGGGATTTGAAAAGGGAATTGCACATTTACATGAGTTAGAGCCATTTCTATCTCATTCGTTCAAGTTATTCGAATGTGTCACAATCAAAATTGTAGGAGAGGAAATTAGTTAGAATGTTTAGGAGTTCAAACCTGCATGAACTGGAAACTGCTGGAACACCAGCATCTCTGTCCATAGTGAACCCGATTGAGAGTGTGCTGACCAAGAAAGAAGCCCCCACTCCACATGGGCAAGTCAAATTGTTTCTGGTCAAATGTTTCATGGTCAGGTGAGAGAAAAAGGTTGAGCAATGACAGGAGTAAAGATGAGACTTTCAAACCTAGAAACGCCGTATCAGCTGTCAAGCACGGCGGTATCATCGTGCTCTGGGGCTGTTTTGCTGCCAGTAGTATTGGTACATTGTATAAAGTAATGGAATACTGAAGGAGGAAGACTACAAAATTCTTCCAAAAATTCCCTATATTCTTCAAAGGATCTGCAATAGTGGAATTCACACCTGATGGTGTGAAAGGAGGAATTTGTTAGAAATAAGATTTTGATAAAGTTTTTTTTGAACATCAATTGCAATGTATGATCACGATAGAGTTGATGCACTCCTCATTAAAAGGATACAAGCATTGATCTCACGGTGTAAAGGGTTAACTAAGAGGAGTTGACAGAGTTGAGTGTTGAAGGCAAATTGCTAAACACTTACAGAGCACAACACAGAGCAGACAGGCTGCTTGTTCTTGGGTGTATGATAACAGGGTGGTCTAGTCAACAAGAAAGAAAAACTGACTTCATTGTGTCAGTTAAAGCTGACATCAGCATGAAAATAAAACATCCCTGGTAACAACTGTAAGGTAGGGAGGGGTTTCCTCACACAGGAGAAGATCCCGGACTGACAGAATAACTGAAAAATAAGACAAAGCTGAAGAAAAACTGCCCACTGAACTGCTGATAATGTGCGCATTATAACCATGATGTGCTGCAGGATGTGGGAGACGCAGGCAGCGGCCGTGAGAAGGAGGAAGAAGATAACAAGGAGGGAGAAGAGAACATAGAGGAACAACGAAGGCTGTTTTTAGTGTGGGCACACATGAAGATTGGGTTACGGAAAACCAGGAAAAACTAAGGCAGACTGACTCAGAGTGGAGGTTAAGAAAGGGTCCTGAGCATCACAACAAAAGGTACACACATCCTAACAGCAAATGCATTAACCCGCTTACTAACAAACAACACACACACGTGCGTGTAATGCAGACCAGCTTATACTCATAAACATGCCATATCTCCCATTACTGTTAAAATTGGAAAACTTAACAGACACTTACTGCTGACCGAGACCTTGCAGGACAACAGGTTGATTTTTTAATAGACCGGTGCCTCCAATTAGTGATCAGTCAACAAATTTAGTGATAATATGTTAGAATTATAAGATGCTTTCTAATGATTAAACAACACGTGAGATTAATTAAATAAAGGAAATGATCTTTTACAATAGTCTTTAAAACTAATCTTTTAAACTTGCATTTCTATTGTTGTCATGCTGTCCTGTCAACTTGGTGGGTTTAGGTTTGACATGTAAACTAGATGACTGCCATTATTTCAGGGAAAGGGGATTTATCTTCCATCGTGCAGATGATTAAATGAGTGCAGTGACTCCAACAGACTGTTGATTTTCCTGTTTCTGACAAACATGTGAAATTTGTACCATGACACACACACACACATCTGATTACATAGAAACAAACGCGCTGCATGTAACAGCACATGGGTCAGAGGGAACTGATGAGCAGTTTGAGAAAAAATAGTACAGAGGTACAGGAAAATGAGTATTTAACAAAAGATGATTATGTAATTCTCACTGACAAAACTGTTGTCATAGAATACACGACAGCATTTATAACATTTCAAGGGCCAAGGGTTCCTTCCACTGCTTTGCATTTATCACGCAACGAGGAAATAGATAATAGACAAATACTGCCTGGCTGGTTTTATAGAAATGCAAACGATGAAGGACTTTGAACCATATAAATTGTAATCTGGCATTAACAGAGCATTCTTTAATCCTCTTCAACCCATTGGCCCATAAAGCGCCTGATATCTCTACTTCCATGTCCTTAATGAGGAGTGTATCAACTCTTTTATTGTCATACATTGCAATTAATGTTAAACAGAAGCTTTATCAAAAAATACATATCTCTTAAAAATGCCGTTTAAGCATACTTTCTCTGGATTCTCACCACCTACCCGCTCTTCTTAGTCTGAGTCTCCACCCTTCTGTTTATTTTCAGTTGCTCTTGGAGTGTTAAATTTTTGTGCAAACATAGCAGTAATAATACAAAGGAAAAGCTATCAGATTACACATGGAAATATGAAACAGCATTGGTTGCTCAACTGCAAAAAGACAGCTTTAAAACTTTAGTTAAATTAATTTGTTCATTTATGAGAGAGTGTTGTTGAGATAAGGAAGCCATTTGGTGTGAGACATGTTTATCAAACTGTGTTATTAAATCCATTAAAATATCCATTAGCAGCAATATTGTTTGGGATGAAGGTACAACATTCATCACCAAACATCACACACACCCTGCTTTCGTGCCGTTCTTTTTTTCCCTGTCATGCGACTTCTTCTTACATCCATTTGATTTCATGTGGCTTTATAATAATGGATTGGATTTATATAGCGCTTTTCAAGGCACCCAAAGCACTTTACAATGCCACTATTCATTCACTCTCGCATTCATACACTGGTGGAGGCAAGCTACGGTTGTAGCCACAGCTGCCCTGGGGCAGACTGACAGAAGCGAGGCTGCCATTTCGCGCCATCGGCCCCTCTGGCCAACACCAGTAGGCAAGTAGGGTAAAGTGTCTTGCCCAAGGACACAACGACCAGGACAGAGAGCCCAGGGATCGAACTGGCGACCTTCCGGTTACAGATACGCTTCCCAACCCCCTGAGCCACGATCGCCCTTTAGGCAACTAAAATCGCCCTTTGGGCAACTTTCTGGCTACTATTTAAATTGAACTTTCAGGACCTGGTTGATAGTATTAAAGCTAAGATAGATAATTGGACACTTCTCCCACTTTCTTTAATAAGATGTTTTAATATAATTAAAATAGTTGTACTTCCTAAATGTATTCATCTCTTCCAAAACATTCCCATCTTTCTTACTTTTTTTTTCAAACTATTGACTCTATCATTGTCTTTCTTATGAGCAAATAAATCCCATAGAGTTGTGAAGGCACACTTGCAGAAACCCACCTCTGAGGGCGGATTAGGCCTCCAAGTTTTCAGGCACTATTTATGGGTTTGCAACGCCAGAACGTGGGTTTTCTTGAATAATGTTTTAGCTGTTCCTGCTGTTCAGATGGTCAGAATGAGTTCTTCACACTATTAAGGACCTCTACATCGACATTTGTTTTGCTTCATTTGCTCAGCTGCAATCAAAATGTATGCTTCCCTGTGCTCATTTATTTCGATACTTACAAATCAGGTATTTTGTTAAACACTCTTTCTCCCATCTGGACCAGCCCCCTGCTCATAGTGAGTTCTGTGATAATTTGATTACAAAATCCTGCTTCCAAAAACCTGATCAGC